TGTGCAAAGTCTAGTTCTGCCAGTCTAGGTATTTGAGTACAGATCCTTTCTGCCAGCAGATGGGGAGAGACAAGAATGAACTTTTCAGTCATGACATCCGTATGCATCTGCTGTCTCAAAATTCTTAGCTGCTGTTGTCTCCAGCAGATGGAACAATTCCCTGACTGGCTAGCTCATACAAATCTAGAAAAACCCCAAGATTTCTCAAGTGTTCAGCTGAGACTATTCAAAGAGCAGGAGGAAATTGGAAGACCGCTATTATCAGTAGTGTCGGTTAGAGTTTTTTTTCTTGCAGAAACTTTAAGTGAGAATGAAATTTTTCTTTGCCTTCATTGAAGTTTTCAGTGGAAAATTTGACTTTGCATTTAAAAACCATAAACAGAATTTTTTAAAAAGATGTTTGTGCCTCCTCTCCAATTTATATTTTTGAAAATTTCAAGGAAAACAGAGCCTTTTAAAAAAAAAAATAAAATTATTAGTTGACAACAACTTTCCGTTGGAATAAAGTTTGGATAGAAACTTTTTCACCAGCCATAGGTTTCAGGATAATTCTGAGCACAAACTATTATAGCGAGGCCTTTCATAAGTCTTAGGGTTCTCACATCTGTGCATAGTGGAAGCTTTCCTCGGGGGAGAGGGGTTGTCACCAACATAGTTGACAGGAACAAAAATGGCAAATTCCACATCCTGCAACAAAGATCCTCGTGCATGCATCTAATTAATTATATTAATTATTGTAGCAAGAGCTTTAAGTACCAGATTTCTATAAAAGGAGACCTGTGGGGTATGCTCATTTTGGACCTACTTTTGAGTGTGAAATTGTGTGTACGTATAGGAACATACCCAATTTGAGTACAAAAGCAGCCAATTTGCTTACATGGCAGTAGTAATCACTTACAGAAACATTCCCACACCTTGGGCCTCTCTGAAATCTAGGCACAAATGCCCAGTCGGTATACCAGATTTTCAGTCAGTGAGAGCATTTAATGCTCCATTTTTGAGCGGAGTGGGGAGGAAAGCTATCTGTTAATCTGACAAACACTTTTTAAATTTATTCTGTCAATGTAACATCTCTCTTTCGTGCTTTGGGCAATGCTTCTCAATTAGCCTGTTGTATTTTAATATATGGTTAGTTTGCCGATCCTGAAAGAAACCATGTTTGGTACTAAAGCAGTGGTTCTCAAACTTTTGTACTGGTGACCCTTTCAAATAGCAAGTCTCTGAGTGTGACCCCCCCCTCATAAATTAAAAACACTTTAACACCATTATAAATGCTGGATGCAAAGCGGGGTTTGGGGTGGAGGCTGACAGCTTGCGACCCCCATGTAATAACCTCATGACCCCCTGAGGGGTCCTGACCCCCAGTTTGAGAACCCCTGTACTAAGGTGATTTTTTTTCCTCCATGACATTTTTTTTTAGGTGCCCTTTACAATTGGGCTTGAGTCATAGTAGTTGGAAATTCATTGTATGTGGTTGAAACAATTTTGTGCTCAGTTTCTAGTGGCTATAATATAAATAGATGCTACACCACTTCTTTATGTGGGATGGTGGTGGGTTGTTTTTTTAAACAAAGTATGATGATATATTTGAAGAGCAAATTAGTCACTCTCCCTCAAGAACTGGTCTACTTGAGATGTACCACAAAGCTGTTTACCTGATGTGGGGCCTATTCAGAATTAAAAATAGACTTTTCAGCTAGGGTTGATAACTCCTAACCTACAATCTGGGTCCATTTTATTACTTAAACAATCACCATTGGTCCTATCAGTATAGTTAGACAATCTCTTTCTCAACTGTTCATTTGGGCCTGATACTGAGAAATGCTAAGTACCTAAACCACCCACTGACCTCAACAGAATTTGCGGCTGCTTAACCCCTACCAGGATCAATCCCATTGACTATCACCTATAAGCTCATAAGGAACATTTGGCATTTATGTAGCACTTTGCATCTTCAAAGCATAGCACAAATATGAATTAAACCTCGCCACACTCCCAAGAGTTAAGTAAGTAACATCCTCATTTTAATAGTGACAAGGGGATGCAGAAGACTAGATCAACAAAGGGATTTAGGTGTCTAACTGTCACTTCAGGTGCCTAAGTCCAAAATTTGGATCCTTAAATCCCCTGCTCAACCGCCACCTAATCCTGCAGGTGCCTAAATATCTGTTTCTGGGCATGAACACAGCTGCCTAAACTCTGACATCTGAGCACCAAGCTCACACGAAACCCCCAGTCAAACTGAGAATTGTCCCGGCTGCCTTTCTTGCCTGCAGGACCGAATCCAGTAGGCATGCTTGGTGTACACCTGGATTGGGCCTCATACAAAATGCTGCTGCTGCCTTAAAATCTTTAGCCCCGTGGTTAAAGCACTGACCCAGGATGTGGCAGACCCAGGTTCAAATCCCACCTCTGCATGATGTGGAGCAGGGATTTGAATCCAGGACTGCCATCTCCTGGCAGAAGAAGGCACCTTCCATGAGGTGCCTAATTTCCTCTGTTGGGCAGGTTTTAGGCTACACCCCTCTCCTTGGTATTGGCTAGTTTACATAGCTCCCTGCTCAGTGTGCTAGCTTTTGTGAATCCTATTCTTAGCATCTAACTCTCTCCATGCATTCATTATATGGGGAAACCTAGACACCTAACTCAGGGCCATGGATTCCATTAGGTGGCTGGGTGTCTAAAGTGAGGTGATGCAATGCAGAATCTAACTCCCTTTTGTGGATCTAGCCCACAGAAGATAGGAGACTTAACCAAGGTCACAAAACAGATCTGTAGCACAGCCAGGATCAGAACTCAGAAACTCCTGTCCTCAAAGGATTAGACAATGTATGACAAATTGTATGCATTTCCATCCTTCTTATAACACTGTAAATTAACAACTCAGTCCAGACATCTGCTCACTGAAACAGTAAATACACTTCAGGTACATTCCAGTTTTGAAATCACCGGTTATTCTCCTGGTTTGCATCATATTAAATTGATCACATGATCATGTCATTTACTTTGCACACATTGTAGTAGGTAGATGTCAATAATATCTCCTGCAATAACACAAGTTTTTATCAAGCACTCTTGCGTCCATCTTCAAATAAAGCCAAATGCTGTCTAAGGGCAGTGCCTCATAGGTTTATTATCTCCATGATATTTTTACATGAATATGACCTATTACAACATAATAAGGACCCCATTTTCTCTAATGACAACTCAGCTGAATAATACCAAATCCAGAGCTATCAGGATACTTAAATAGCTACAACCCTCCATGTAGAACTACATCACCAGAATACTTTTGATCCACACTGGTTAACTGTTGTTTCCAGAATGCCTTCTAAAATGTCTTGCTGGATGCCTTTGATGATACTTATTTGAATCCTTGTGGCTGTATCTGTATGTAACTTCTCTAGCCAAATCCTTTACTGCAAGTGAAATCTTGTCCTTAAACTTACATATTAGGGCTGTTGATTAATCACAGTTAACTCACACCATTAAAAAAATGAATCACGATTAATCCCAGCTTTATTCACGCTGTCAGTAATAGAATACCAATTTAAATGTATTAAATATTTTTGGGTGTTTTTCTACATTTTCAAATATATTGATTTCAGTTACAACTTAGAATAAAAAGTGTACAGTGCTCACTTTATCCTATTATTTTTCATTACAAATGTTTGCACTGTAAAATGATAAAATAAATACCATTTTCCAATTCACCTCATACAAGAACTGTAGTGCATTATTATTGTGAAAGTGCAACTTACAAATGTACAATTTTTTTTACATAACTACACTGAAAAACAAAACAATTTAAAACTTCAGAGCCTACAAGTCCACTCAGTCTGACTTCTTGTTCAGCCAATTGCTAAGACAAACAAGTTTATTTACATTTAAGGGAGCTCATGCTGCCTGCTTCTTATTTACAATGTCACCTGAGAGTGAGAACAGGCGTTCGCAAGGCACTTTTGTAGCCAGCGTTGCAAGGTATTTATGTGCCAGATATGCTAAATGTTTGTATGCCCCTTCATGCTTTGGCCACCATTCCAGATGATATGCTTCCATGCTGATGATGCTGGTTAAAAAAATAATGCATTAATTAAATTTGTGACTGAACTCCTTGGGGGAGAATTGTATGTCTCTTTCTCTGTTCTACCTGCATTCTGCCATATATTTCATGTTATAGCAGTCTTGGATGATGACCCAGCTTATGTTGTTCATTTTAAGAACACTTTCAATGAAGATTTGCAAAACGCAAAGAAGTAACCAATGTGAAATTTCTAAAGATGGATACAGCACTTGACCCAAGGTTTAAGAATCTGAAGTGCCTTCCAAAATCTGAGAGGGATGAGGTGTGGAGCATGTTTTCAGCAGTCTTAAAAGAGCAACACTCTGATGCAGAAACTACAGAACTTGAATCACCCAAAAAGAAAATCAATCGTATGCTGGTGGCATCTGACTCAGATGAAAGTGAACATGCATTGATCCATTCTTCTTTGGATCGTTATCGAGCAGAACCCGTCATCAGCATGGACATGTCTTCTGGAATGGTGGTTGAAGCTTGAAGGGACATATGAATCTTTAGCGCATCTGGCACATAAATATATTGCGAAGCCAGCTACAACAGTGCCATGTGAACCCCTTTTCTGACTTTCAGGTGAAATGGTAAACAAGAAGCGGGCAGCATTATCTCCCATAAGTTCAACTTTCATGATAAAGAGATTGCACTACAATACTTGTAATGGGGGAATTGAAAAATAATGTTTCTTTTGTTTCTTACAGTGCAAATATTTGTAATCAAAAATAAATATAAAGTGAAAACTGTACACTTTGTATTCTGTGTTGTAACTGAAATAAATATATTTGAAAATGTAGAAAACATCCAAAAATATTTAAATAAATGGTATTCTATTATTGTTTAATAGCATGATTAATCGCAATTAATGTTTTAAATCGCAATTACATATACTATCGTATTGTGTATTTAGAAAATAGAAGTTTCTTACCTGAGGCTGTTGAGTGGCAGTGGGTCTCTGAGGAGATGGTACAGGTGTTTTGGACAACATTTGGTTCATTTTGCTTACAACAAGATCAGTTATAAGTTGCCTATCTTCAACCTGATGTTCACCAATCAAAGGCATTGCACAGTCCATAACCTATAATATACAACATTTGATTAGCTAGGGAATGTAGCATTGCAGCAAACCCACTCCACGTGTTTATCTGTAAATGTCAGGTCATCCACGGAGTTTGTTCTGCAAAAAGGAGAAAAATAGGTAGAAATGGTCTAATTTTTGTGAGAGGAAAGGGAATTGAGCTTAAGTATCATCGTCCCCTTCCTGGAGATTGGAAGCCACTCCGTTCGATCTGAGTTTGAGTTTCTGTGCTGTATTTGGGCTGTTTCTGAGCCCATTCATAGCTGGGGAATGCCACTCTCCATGGCATCATCCCTTTCCAATCCTAAGGCAATATACCCATGTGACTGCATGTTGACATTTCTTGGGGATGCCATGTGTGGGCACTCCATGGGAACATGGTTCCTGAGGGAACTACACCACTGCACATACTAAGGATTATAAAGAGGCACAAGGCTTCCCTAAGGAGGGCTTGAAACCTGAGATATTTCCCTGTGTATTCTGGGTTATTAAATGTTTTAAAGGGCTCTTTCCCCTGCATGGTTTGTCTGGCTCAAACCCTATCCCCTTAATGGAATATGTCTAGGGAAATGCTGAGTTGAAACTTGAATTTTCTGGCTTTTCTGTTAGACTTTGATCCCATAGTCCTTATTGGTTAATATAAAATCTGAAACAAGGCAATATGATGCCATTATTATTGATAGGGTTGTTTCTGAAAAGTGCTGTGTATGTCGTGCAGATCTTGTAGGGGTTTGCAGACTAAAGTATTTCCACAACTGCACTTTTTATCCTATAGGTACCTGATGTATTCTTCCTAAGGGGTGAATCCTGCCCTCCACTTTGTATGTGTGGAAGGCTTCCCCACTGTGGAATCATTGCAATTCAACTGCACAAAGGAGGAGGTCGAGATTATGAATCCTATATGGTGTGGAGCCCAACTCCTGCGAGTACTTGACCTGTGGCAGCACACTGGGTGATTAAGCGTGGCACCAGATAAGAGAGTGGGAAAGCCAGACGATCTACACTGTATGAGCTTCTGGTCCTTTGCCATTTTTGGAAGGAGTGGACTAGAGTGTCTGCAGAGACACTCTCAACGCAGCAGCCTCTACTAGCATAAGTGAAGCAGCTCTGCAAGATTCCTCCCCCATACCTCTCCCAGTGCCAAGCTCAGACACTGATGGTGGATGCTCAGGGAAAGATTGGGACCTAAATGAACTTATTATGTTCAATGTAACAATGTTTTGTAAGGTTTTACTATGCTATCCAGCTGCTATTTCATACAATACAGATGCTAATAACAGATTACCTTTTAAACAACGTTTGGAGGCTTGCAAATTTTCAAATTGATTAGAAAAAATTGATTTAAAAAAAACTTGTGAATGAGACTGTCCAAAATATTAAATCTAATCACATTAATATGAAACAAGAGACTGTCACTATGTACAAATACTTTTATTCTCTCCCCCTACCTGCTCCACCCCCAAAATTAGGTAGAGAGTAGCATTGTTTATTTATAATTCAGATGCTACAAATTATTGACTTGGGGTCTTCAGGGCTACAAAGTCTCAAGGAGGCTGCAACCATTAAAAATCTTCCTCAGAGCTCAGAGGCTTGCTAAAACAAACCCAAATTAAACAAAGAAATACAATTTACAGTTCAAGCAGATGTTTTCTAAGAAAAGCATGAATGGTGTTCCACTCTTGGGTACACATCAATGGTATTGCAGAAATAGATGATATTTGCACTCCAGGGGCTCCTATAAGTTTTATATATTTTTCACATTAATACTTTTGAAGAGGTACATACTGTATACTTTTCAAACTTCCTTGTCACATTCCTGTGATGCATAAATGGATAAATTATAACTGGAGAAATGAGGAAAACAGAATACTATATTTGTTTTAACACAGTTTATTCTTGAGGTTCTTTCCCAGCACACAGCGTCTTTGAGGAAAAGCTACATGCAAGAACTGCATGTTATGATTTTTGCCAGAAAGTAACAGACAGTAAACCAAATCAAGTGCTTGATTCTGCTCTCACTTACCCTGGAGTAGATCAGGAGTAACTCCACTAAAGTTGGAGTTTCAATTCTGTGAGAGCAGAGACTAGCCTCACGATACTAGTGTATACACTATTTTTAAACTTAGCACCCGACTCTCTCCTCCTGTATAAAACTGGGTGTAACAGAGTGGAGAATAAGGGCCCTTAATATACACTGGAATGTTTGTTAAAATCTGGGCTTCCATTCAGTATCACATTAATAACCACAGGCATCAACCTTCACTCTCAGCAGGTTATCACTTGAACACTATCATTATTTATAGTTGCATTGGAGTAGCACCTAAATGCACATTTAAAGTTATTTCCTCTGGCTTAGCATCATCTTCTTTGAGGTGGGAGGGGGAAAGGTTACTAGGCATGCACAAAACATTTGAAAATCTTGGTCAGAAATGACTAGTGACTGAATTCCTGGATGCTCAATGTGAGGCACCTTTAAAAGGAGCCTGATTTTCAGTGGGTGGATGTAAGAACATAAGAACGGCCATACTGGGTCAGACCAAAGGTCCATCCAGCCCAGTATCCTGTCTACCGACAGTGGCCAATGCCAGGTGCCCCAGAGGGAGTGAACCTAACAGGTAATGATCAAGTGATCTCTCTCCTGCCATCCATCTCTACCCTCTGACAAACAGAGGCTAGGGACACCATTCCGTACTCATCCTGGCTAATAGCCATTAATGAACTTAACCTCCATGAACTTATCCAGTTCTCTTTTAAACCCTGTTATTGTCCTAGCCTTCACAACCTCCTCAGGCAAGGAGTTCCACAGGTTGACTGTGCGCTGAGTGAAGAAGTTCCTTTTATTTGTTTTAAACCTGCTGCCCATTAATTTCATTTGGTGGCCCCTAGTTCTTATATTATGAGAACAAGTAATAACTTTTCCTTATCCACTTTCTCCACACCACTCATGATTTTATATACCTCTATCATATCCCCCCTTAGTCTCCTCTTTTCCAAGCTGAAAAGTCCTAACTTCTTTAATCTCTCCTCATATGGGACCCGTTCCAAACCCCTAATCATTTTAGTTGCCCTTCTCTGAACCTTTTCTAATGCCAGTATATCTTTTTTGAGATGAGAAGACCAGATCTGTATGCAGTATTCAAGATGTGGGCGTACCATAGATTTATATAAGGGCAATAAGGTATTCTCCTTCTTATTCTCTATCCCTTTTTAAATGATTCCTAACATCCCATTAGCTTTTGTGACTGCCGCTGCGTACTGCGTGGACGTCTTCAGAGAACTATCCATGATGACTCCAAGATCTTTCTCCTGATTAGTTGTAGCTAAATTATCCCCCATCATATTGTATGTATAGTTGGGGTTATTTTTTCCAATGTGCATTACTTTACATTTATCCACATTAAATTTCATTTGCCATTTTGTTGCCCCATCACTTAGTTTTGTGAGATCTTTTTGAAGTTCTTCACAGTCTACTTTGGTCTTAACTATCTTGAGCAGTTTAGTATCATCTGCAAACTTTGCCACCTCAGTGTTTACCCTGTTCTCCAGATCATTTATGAATAAGTTGAATAGGATTGACCCTAGGATTGACCCTTGGGGAACACCACTAGTTACCCCTCTCCATTCTGACCAGTTACCATTTATTCCTACCCTTTGTTCCCTGTCTTTTAACCAGTTCTCAATCCATGAAAGGATCTTCCCCCTTATCCCAGGACAACTTAATTTATGTAAGAGCCTTTGGTGAGGGACCTTGTCAAAGGCTTTCTGGAAATCTAAGTACCGTATGTCCACTGGATCCCCCTTGTCCACATGTTTGTGCAGCACTTTCGAGCAATCAGTCCCCTTTAATGTGCCCCTCAAGTTGGGCACCCCAAATCAGTAGTCACTTGAAAATGATGGCCCCTCTTTTTGAGTTATGTCCTTAAGTTTCCTAATGGTTTTATCAACAATTAATTATAATCATTTTAAAAACTGCCTTAGATATCAACTATATTAATCCTCAGCATTCCCCAACCAGACAGGAAAGTAGTCTCCCCATTTCATGGATAGGGAAAGAGAAAAATGGACAAATCCACCCTTGGTGTAAGTCCATCAACATCAAAAGAGTTGTAGCAGGAATGAATTTGGCCCAGAAAGGAGTAGCAATATGCTTAAAGCCACAAAGCTGGAGACTGGCAGAGTCAAGATTGGAACCCAGAGAGGTTCCTGGTTGTTAATTAGTTAACTTTTACACAGCTGGTATGCATGGGGATTTACAGGACACTTTCTATATAGACATTTCTATTTTGCTTATCAGTACACAAGGGAAAAGTATGGGTCTTGTGCTTAAGGGGGAGAAATGGGAGTCTGGAGATCTTGGTCCTGTTGAGTAAATCAGTTAACTGAGCTGTGCCTCAGATTACCCATATGTAAAATGGAAATAACACTTACCTCATTGGGGTGTTGGGGGAGTAATATTAATTACTCCAATTAATATTAATCTAATTAATATTTCTAAATTACTTTGAGGTGTTCAGATGGAAGATATAATTCAATTAAAGTCCTTCTGACAAAGAGTATATCACTAGACAACACTGTCTCTTAATCTTGTATTTAGCTTATATAGCTTTTCCTTGTAAAAACACAGAAAAATATCTTTCTTTTTCAAAGTGGTTAAAAAGGTGTTTTCCTTTTTTAAAATGAAAGATTCTTACACACATCCTAATATTAGGAAAATGACAGGTTATTAGCAAACTTCTGCCTAAAATAGATTTGTAACTTTATAGAGGGATTTTAGTTTTGGGTTATGATGGTTATGCTGCTGTTAAGATGACATTGAAATGACAGTGGTTAAATCAATTCCTATCTATGGCCTGATCCAAGGTCTTTTGAAGACAATAGAATTCTTTCCACTGGCTTCAATGGGTCTTAGATAGGGGCCCCCTAGAACTTCTACTTTAAAAAACAAACAAAACAACCAACTTTCAAAGTTGGGACAGAAATTCAGCAGGCATCCCAAAAGT